CCATGTGGGTGTTGGGAATTGAACCTGGGTCCTCTGTAAGAGCAGCCAGTGCTCTTTAACTACTGAGCCATCTCTACTGTCCCAGAATGACTTTCTTAAATATCACTAATCTTTCCAGTGACCATGAACTAATTATAATTAGTGACATCCTCCTGAAGAGTGTGGGAGTTACAGTGAGAACAGTGGTCAGTAAACAAGGTGACTGAGGAACTCTGTATTTTTCTTTTTCTAAAGTCTTTCTTCCAAAGGAGATCTCCTTAAGAGGATATAGCCAGACTGTCAGAGGGCACTAGATGTGGGGTGCTGTGCCCTTATACCCAAGGCCACATGCCATTGTTTCCAGCTGTGGAGGGTTATGTGGCCTGAAGTGTGGACAGTTTTGAAATGTGGCACCTGTGGGCTGCAAACAGAAGGTAGGTATGTGGCCTGCTACTGGCACGGATGTGCTCACATTGGCTTGCTGTGGGCAAATCCAGTGTCATAGAGGGGCAACTCCCTGGTTGCCATAGAACCTGTTGAAGACTTGACTGCCTCCTGAGCCCAACTGAAAGGGAACTTACGTTGTACACTTTTATAGTGACCATTTTGGATGACAAAACCTTAAAAAACAGGCAAGGAGGGGCTGGGGAGATGGCTTATTTGACAAAGTTCTTGCCATGTAAGCATGAGGACCTGAATTTGAGTCCCAGAACCCATGTGAAAAAGCTGGGCATGATGGTGTACTTGCAATCCTTGTTCTGGGGAGGCAAGAGACAGGAAGATCCTTGAGACCCACTGACCAGCCAGCTTAGCTGAATTAACTGGTTCTAGGCCAGTGAGAGACCATACCTCAAAAAACAAGTGTCCTGAGGGGGGACTCTGGTCTACACACACACACACACACACACACACACACACACACACACAGAGGCTCTTTTTCTAATAAATGTTTTTTATTAATATTTTATTTATTATTTTTATTTTTGTGTGTATGAGTGTATTGCCTGCCTGTGTATAAGTGCACCCATGTTGTACAATGCCCACGGAGGCCAGAAGATGGCATTGGATTCCCCTGGAGCTGGAGTTGAAGATAGTTATTAGCTGCCATGTGGGTGCTAGGAATTGAACCCAGGTCCTTTGCGAGAGCAGCCAGTGCTCTTAACTACTGAGCCATCTCTCCATCCCATAAACAGTCTCTTAAACAGGATTCAAATGATCTCTCACTCACTCTGTGCCAAATGGTAACTGGGTGAAGCCCCTGGGTCTGTTCTGGAGATAAAGCTCTTTGCTACAGCACCAAGTGCTCTCAACTCTCAGACTTTCAAAATTTGTCAGTCTGATTTTCTTCTTCTTCTATTTCTCTGTAATGCTTTTCTGTGGGCCTATGTTACTATAAAAACAATCGACTGCCTCCAGCCACTGTGTACTTCTATATGTCCTCTGAACTGTGTCTGATACTCTTGGACTGGGAATGAATCATAGCCTTGCAAGAATTGTGTATAAAGTAAGAGGCAGAAGGCCTTCCTTCCTAGGTAAGGGATTGAACTCGGTGGTATTTCAGGCTTTTCAGAGGCTGCTGTAAATCTTGCAGCTCTCTAATATGGTCCAGCCTAGACAAATGACCTTCAGTGCATAATCTGGGTATAAAGTCTTTGCTAAGGAAAATAAGCCAGAAGGAGAAAGTCTCTCTTCCTTTTTTTCAAAATTTGACATTGTTTTACATCTAATTTTAGTTCAAAGATGACTAACATACATACATATATATATATATATATATATACCCACACACATGCATGCTGTGTTCATGTGTGTGCACACACACATGCACACACAGACAGCAGTGACAGACAATGTCACAAAATAGGCTCACTCAGTTTTCCACTTTTGTATCTCTACACGCTAAAAAGCTATCCTGGGGATTTTAAAATAATGACAATTTCGATCTGGAAAAAGCTTTCAAAGACCTTTAGTCTTACTGTCTGTCTTAGTTCAGGGATCTATTCTCTTCCTAGACAGGTGGGCATTTTGTGTCTTCCTTGCTTAGATCAGGGAATGGGGAACTTGATATTTTTTGAGTCTGGTTTTAAGGGTGGAAATCTCTGACAGCTAGGAAGTTGCAGAGTTACACCCCTGCCACGTCTGATCTGCATTTCGTGGGCAGATGTTAGGTTTCTTGCAGTGTTTTGATGTGTCTGTCTTGTGGAGAGTATGGCCGGGCGTGGTGGTGCACGCCTGTAGTCCCAGCACTTGGGAGGCAGAGGCAGGTGGATCTTTATGAGTTCGAGGCCAGCCTGGTCTACATAGTGAGTTCCAGGACAGCTGGGGCTACAGAGAGACCCCCCCAAAAAAACCCAAACAACACAACAAAAAAGCCCATACCTCTATGAATGGGGAGGCGGATATTTCTTTAGTGGGGTGGGCACTCCTGATAGTAGTCACCTTGGAAACAGCTGGGTTTGGAGGCAACAGAGAGTGAAGAATCCGGATTAGCTTGGCCAGAGAGTGACCCTGAACTTGAGTGTTCTGAGAGTTGGCTGGAG